TATATTGTTCAGCTATATTAGCATAAATTAACTTCGCACAGTAATACTAAATTGTACTAGTTATCCAATATATGTATAATTTGGGAATTCGATCATACGGTGCCTTGATTTCTTACAGGGAGTTCATCAAACCTAAACATACATATCCTTCCTTAATCTACCTATGATTCCACCACTATGATTCGCAACCAATTTTCCAAATCCATTCAATCCAAATACCTAAATATCCAAATCAAATTAGATACAAATCCTCAAAACCCATCCAAACCCCAATGAAATGTAAATATAATTGGACCAAAATATCTGATGTCCGGCTCCGCGACTTCGAAGATATAAGAACTCACCTCAATTTCTCGCTTGAATGGAGATCTTTGTGCCGAGCTTCCGTGACCAGCTCCGTGCTGACTTCAACAACGACTGATGTGGTGGAGGAAGCTCCGTTTAAGCCTTTAACTGGATAGTGGCAATGGAATTTGAAGTCATGTGAGCAATTGTAACGATAAACGTCGAGAAAGGATTTGGTCGGATATTCCGACGAGCCGACCACGACAGCTTTTATTATGATTCAGTTTTCTTTTATTTTTAACCAATAATATAGAGTCATTAAGGGTAATTTTGGTTTTCACTATTTCATTAGACCAAATGAGTAGGCTAGACAATACAGTAGTAAACCAGACAAGAGTACTAATAGATTGGAGTATATGAGCCATTTGTCGTCCGGTTTGGATGTATTATAAATTTAAATATATAAATGGGCCGTAGTTTGGGCTTAGGCCTCATATCTACTAAATCTTGATAAGAGTAAACCCAAAGTTTGAAAAAGGAGTGTTTTTTTTTACCGATGCTCTCTCTCTCTCTTCTCCAACCTGCGAGAAGATAATGAGAGCTTCTCCGGCAATACTCTCACTCTCCTTAACTATTCCGCTACCTCTTGCTTCCACTAAAACTCGATTCTCTGGAGAATATTTTCGAGTCAAACAGTATGTTTCGAATTATCAGTGTTTATCGCGACCCGGACGACTCGTCTCAGAGAAACCAAGCAGAAGATGGACCTGCTGCAAATGCCGAAACAGAGAACGAAATGGTTACGCGAAATCTGATGACGAAGGAGAAGATTTCATTGTTGTAAACTTCTATCGGTTTGTATCAATCGAAGATCCCGCGGCTGAGATTGCGAAGCACCTCTCTTTCTTAAAGGTCCGTCTGATTCGGAGATTCACTGTAAAACCCAAATTCATAGATTTTTCTAATCTTTTTTAATTTCAGAATGTAGATTCTGAAACATTCGTGTGCTTGTGAGCATTCTCTTGGTTCATAATTTGAAGCTTTTCCTATGGTTTTTTGCCTTCCAGGATTTGAATATACATGGTCGGATATATCTCAATGAACAAGGAGTTAACGCCCAGGTACTGTTAATCATTTGCAATCACCACATTAGCTTTGAATTACTCTTTTTTTATTTTTTATCAAACTATGTGAGGATTCCTGCATATTAAGTGACAAAGCTTGTGTGTTTACTTCTGTAATGCTTGCTTTCTGCAGTACAGTGGGCCATCTAAAGACGCTCTTGCATATGTTGAATGGTTGAAAGAAGATGGGAGATTCTCGGATTTGCTTGTCCAGATGTCTCCTGCTATCAATGGGCATGCATTCCCTAAGTTGAAGCTACAGAACAAACCCTCCTTAGTGCAGGCAAGCTACATTTCAAAACAGCACTTTGTGTTGGATTCGAAATTCTATGGTTCACAACGAAAAACTTCTTACTTAAAATGCATTCCTTGAAAAAACATTTATTGCTTCTTTTCTTTCTGTAGTATGAGGGAGGAATTTCACACCTTCCCCTACTTGATCCACCGATGCGAGCAAAACCCTTAGAACCGTCTGAATGGAAAAGGAAACTGAAAGACTTAACGGATGACGATGAAGCATCGCCGTCAAGTAGTGGCAAAAGCTGCATTTTATTGGATGTCAGAAACGGTATTTCTTTTTCGTTTCTCCATTTATTTCCTGTTGTGCACACATGTAATTGTTGGTGATTCTTAAAGGGCACCACATATTGCTCTAGTATTAAGAGGTGATAATCAATTGATCTGAACAGGTTATGAGTGGGATGTTGGTCATTTTCGTGGGGCACGTAGACCTGAAGTTGATTGCTTTCGAAACACTTCTTTTGGGCTATCTGATGAAAAGGTACAATTAATCCCAAACTGTGTCTGCTGAAAAGTTCTTATATACAACCTGTGGATTTAAGATATAGCGATCAGACAAGTCTCTTCTGTAGGTTTCATATTGCATAGGTAATATATCTAACTAATGATTTTCACTATGCCACTGTCTACTCTACAGGAAGCTCCTTCAGACCCTTTGGTAAATGTTGACAAGGAAAACACAGATATACTGATGTACTGTACTGGAGGTATACGATGTGATGTATATTCTACAGTTTTAAGGTAGCATTGTGGCTTCTAATCCTTTGTTCTCTTTTTACCATTCCTCATAACAAGTTTTCCCAAATAACACTCTTGTGAGAAGTCAAATTTCTTTTCAGACAGAGAGGTTTCAAGAACTTGTATACACTGAAGGGTGGAGTTTCCCATTATCTTGAGGAAGAAGGCACGGATGAATGGGTTGGAAATCTTTTTGTGTTTGACTCTCGTCTCTCTCTCCCACCAGCTGCCTACAGCAACAGCACCGTGGATAAAGCCACAATAACTCCACAAACGACCGTGGATACAAGTTTTGCAAGATGCTATATTTGCGATTCGCAAGTCCAGGAACTAAGACATCGGAACTGTGCTAACCTTGACTGCAATCGGCTTTTCTTGTGAGTTGCATTGTAGCTCCTTGTTTCATCTCTTAATGTCTATTAAAAATTAGTCTTCGGCTTACCATAGTTCCATCTTGATGGACACTTGCCATTGTTTTCTCTAAACTTACCTCAATCTTCGGTTCAGATGCTGTGCAGAATGTATCGTCGATTTGAATGGATGTTGCTGTTCAAACTGCATTACTGCTCCTAGACTTAGACCTGTCTTGCATGGAATAAAAAGATATGAAAAATGGCATGTGTATCGCAATTCATAAGTGCAAATGCGCCACTGGCATGGCCACATCAAGAGATTTTTGGAGGATAGTTATGCTATTCAAGTCGTAAGACGATATACTATGTCTCAGTGCTTAAGATATCCCTGGAAAGTGATCAGATGAGAAACATAACACAACACAAGCAGGAGAGTGCTGAAGCAGAAGCTAATAAAGTTAATCAAAAGCTTGTCAGAACTCAATTTTCATTTCATCATATACAAACAAAGCATGCAGCAGTTCACAACTTAATATATCTGTTGTACTTGCGGCACAAATGCAAACTGTGATGCAACAAGATGGTGCTCGTTACTAGTAAAGTAGAAATTAAATGTAGTGATGATTATTTTAGACAAATCCGTGGTTTCAATATTTCTATTACTAACACACTCAAGTTTTCTTTGTTCTCACACTACATTGAGATTTGATATTGCAGGCCTAGTGAAATATGGTGGCTTTGCTTTGTTCGACTTTCTTGAAGTGTCATCAATCACTGGACAACCTCAAACTCTACCATCTGCGAGCTCCATCGGTTCGTGTAGCAATATAATTTCGCAGAGAAGGAGACTGGGTAAGACCATCTGGTGCAACTGTGGTGTTCTGACTTCCATTCTTCTGCTTCATCCTTCGGCGTGCTATGTAACCTCGGACCCAAGGAGTTACATCCTCGTTGGTCTTA